AGTAACGTGTGAGCCCACTTCTGGTGTTGAAAACAGCTTAAACATTTAGGAACCTCTTTCCCCCTGAAAATCCTTAGGATTTAGGGTATTTCTCCACAGTTAAATTGCAGTGGAAACATCCAAGATAGCAAACAGATTATTGGACTGTATGAACAGCAGGACAGACAGTAGGCTGAAGTGATTATAGCCTTTTTTCAGCCTTCATTAGACCAGATGTGGAATACTATGTCCAGCTGTGGCAGACAGAAGTGCCACATCCACCCATGAGGAGAGGTGTTGGTAAACTGGAGCAAAGCCAGAGGAGGATCACCGACACGGTGAGGAGAGGCTGAAGGAGTTGGACTCAGGCAGCCTGAAGAATCAGCAATTTCAGGGTACCTCACAGCCACCTTCCTTAGAAAATTAGTGAGGTGCACAGCAGGATGCCAAAATACAAGTCAGAAAATGTAAAAAGGAAGGTTCCAGCTGGATAGAAGGAAAAAGTCCTAACTATAAGGATGATAAAGCATTGAAACAGTTTTGTCCAGAGAGATTGTGCAGTCTCTATCCTTGAAGGTTTTCAAAACTTACCTTGACAAATGCCCCAGGCACCCTCGTTAGAATTCTGTGTTGAACCTCCTTTGAACAGGAGGATGAACCAGAGACCTGCTGAGGTCCCTTCCAGCTTGTCAGATCCTGACTCTGAACAGTCCATACAGAAAGCAGTATTTGTCAGCGCTGAGATTTTCTGTGAAGCTACACAGCTCCTGCTACTTTTCTGAAAGCCTGCTGAGGTCTGTGTCCCTTGGGGTCACCATAGCCCTGGGCTCACAAGCATGGGAGACGTGCTCCTTTTGAAACATCTCCCTACAGAACAGCCTTTCCCGTTTCATACGACATCCTGGAAGAAGTGAGAAAACTAGAGGTTTGCCTTTCACTTCTGCAGATTCTGGCAGCTCCCAACCCCACCGCTGGCTACAAACCCTCTGCAGTGAGCCAAGCTGTACAAAGCACCGAGGAAGACGAGTGATTTTTCCAGCAGTCCCATGGCTTCATGGTCCTGCAACCCTTAGAGATGCCACTTGCTGAGCAGGAAGGGAAGAGAACAGATAGGAATTCCCCATGCCCTGCCTTCCTGTGAGGGCAAACAGCCTCCAATACTTCCTTTCCACTTAATTAGACATGGGAACTCAGGAAAGCGGTCAGGTCTCAGGCCTGATGCAAGAGCAGCTCATCAGTGAACATCTCCTTGCCTTTCCAGCACTTCTTCGAAGGGGTGAAAGCCCGTGTGGCTCAAGGGGTGAAAGAAGAAGAGGTCAGCTTTCAGCTGGCCTACAGCAAGCAAGAGCTGAGGAAGGTCATTGAAAAATACCCCGGCAAGGAAGTAAGAAGAGCCCTGGAGACCCTCTACAGGAAAATCCACAAGGATCTCTCCCCAGAGGAAAATCTCTTACCGGTAACTGGAGCATGGTCTGGGTGTGATGCTGTGACCTTCAGGGGAGCGAGGACTACAAAGCACATGTAGCTGTCACGGGCTGCAGAAGGGAGCTGACGGTCTGTTTTTTCCCTAGGTGGTGTGGCACGCCATGGAGCAGGAGTTCCTACGGCAATACCAGGAGTTTGAGGAGCTGCTGCAGCGCTGTTATGCAGGGTCAGGGATTGCCATGGACTTCACCATGGAGGACTTGCTGAGCTACTTCAACTCCATCACTGTGTCCAACACGTAGAGGCAAATCCTCTTTGGATGTCTGGTGGGAGCAGCTCAGGAGGCATTGTCTGCAGCTACACCTTTAAGGAACTAAACCCAAACCCCTTCCCAAGCTGAAGTTTGATATAGGAGGGTCTCATCCTGAACTTAATGCCAAAGGGCCTTTGACTCATCAGTCTTAGGCTAGATATCCCTTTGGGAAGTGGAGTTCTCACACCCAAGCCATATCTTCCCCACTCCAAAGAAACTATTAAAAAACCACAACTCTTCCAAATCTCAGATTTCTGCCAGAGTGAGCTCTGTTGCTGTACCTCTTTAGCAGGCCACTTCCAGTGCAGCTGGTCTTTTCCAGCCTCAAAAATTCTGTGATTCTCTCCAGGAAGTCTCTCAGATTCCACAGTGGACTTGCACTAAAACAAGAGTGTAACAATACACCACAACACCTACATGTGCATACACTTACTGTGCTCAGGTATGAGAACAAATCTATCAGCTCTTCAGCAGGGATGGGTGAAAGTTCAAAGTCATGAAGATAAGAATTTTTAATTGCTTTTAGCTAAGGATTTTCTTGCTTGTTAACTGGAATGGAGCAAGTGCTACTGCTCCAGACATCCAGACTGTTCTCTCACAGAATTGCCTGTTCTTCCCCTATTTTACTTACAAAGTATCTTACAGCAATATCACAACTAGCTGACATATTTTTGTTGTTGAAAATACTGCCTCCATACCTTGGGATGATAATCACGGAGCTAAGATGCTGTCTGTTGTAGTCTTCTCTCTAAAAATCTGAGGATCCTGAACTCTTTGGTTCACTCCAAAATAACAATCAGGTCCATAGCAATGACATGGGGTCAAGGACTAGGATATCAGTCTAAAGCTGAACTCCACACCAGCAGGGTGATCAGCCAGGTAGAGGCACATCCAAGCTATACAGAAGACCACCATCCCCACACCAAAACTCACTCATGGAGTGAATGGCCCGAGAAGAGCTTTAAATATGCTCCAGGGCCCATGGATGTGGGTGGAAGACTGCAGGTGAGGCTGGTCAGGTCTATTAAGGTCAATTAGCAACCTCAAAGCTCTGTCAGGTGCCATGTCAATGGTCCTGTTACGAGCACCTGGGGGGATAACTTTGGAAGTTTTAGTAATGAAAAGAAATCAGGTTTTCTTTTTTTTCCCCAAGAAAACAAGGTTTGGGAGGTGTACCTGCTGCCAGCCCCACTGTGCAGCTGCTGATCTTCTCAATCCGGACAGGACAGCAGAAATCCACCAAGGCAGCCAGCTCCTACGTGTCTTGTGAAAACCAGAGGGAAAATCTTATTTGACAGAGGAAAGAGGTGTCGGCTTCAGCTGAGCAGCTCTCTGTCCTGCTTGCTGAGAGCCCACAGGAGTGAGACATGACCCGTGTTTCAAAAATAAATACGATCTGTTTTCTGTCGTTACCCTCCAGCGTGGGTTCATGAGCCTTTTTCCCCATTCAGGGCATTGGCATCCTCTTCTTTCGTGTTGTTCTGTGTTGAGACTGGTGGCAGTCCCCACCACCGGAGAGGCCTTAAGGGGCACCACCGTGCCGGGGAGGAACAGCCTTTTGCTGAGCTCTGGCTGTGGGATTTCCACCTCGGCTCTGTGAATAAACCCACAGTGACCTTCAAGACAAGGAAAACACGAGGGTGGCCTTGCATGTCCCAGGAGTCACTTGTCCAACCTATTGACCCTTACCATTTCTAGTTGATGGTAGATCATAACCCGTGAAATAGTTCTGGGAACAATTATGTGGGGCAACCCGGTCAATTTGGGGAGAAAAATCCCCAAAGGATGTACAAAAAGGATACAGGCACTTTATCTGCAACCTCCCACAGCCACCCTCAGACGTCATTTCCCTTGCCCAGATGGAAAAAATCATTTTCAGCTCTTTCCACATGTCAGAAATTCTGGTTTCATTTGGGGTGTTGCTGTACATGGTGAAGTGTGGGCAGCTTGGGCGGAGAAAGTCTAGGCAGAAAGTTTTTAACACAGGAGGTCCTGTGCCTTGAACCAGCCTGAACTACTCGTTCCTTTGATGCCAACTACCCAGAGACCTTTCAAAACTCCATTATATATTTGACAGATTTAAGTTTCACAGAGGGAGAAAAAGATAATCTCCAACTCTGCATTGGGCCATGGAGAACCCCTTTGGACAAGTCTGCTTAGGAAGGGGTGCCCAAAAAGTTGCCCAAAGCCGTGCACATCACCCTGAGGCTCCTTTTCTACCCCTCCTTACTACATGTCGGCTGTTAGCACAGCCCGTGCACCTTTTACTAGTGGGAGCTTCCCAGGGACAACAAACGCCTCACAGAGCAATAAGACCACAGCATGTGGCATGGTAGAAAACCATCCGGGAGGCAAAGAAGTGAGCAGGTTGCCTACTGCTGGGGAGGTAGGGAGAGAGCTGCAGCTGCTTGCCACAGCTCCTCTTCTCCAGGGACACCCCTCCTTCCTCTTAGCAGTCAGTCCCAGCACCAATCTCAGCTGTGTGCTTTAACACATCAACACACCCTTCCCTTCCCAAGGGAAAGACACGTGGCTAAAATATGCGGACTGTTTTTCCCAGGATTTTTCAAACAGCTCTGTGTAGTTGGACTTGCAGGTCCTCCAGGTCAAGGTCCACCTCTGAGGTGAGCAATCCCCAACTCCTCCGGTTTCTAATCTCATTGGTTTTTTCCAGCCCCATTCTGCTGTGACGTTGCAGCTCGGCTCGAGGCAGCAGGAAGGGGACGCTCAGAAGGCAACCGCCTGGCCAAGGTTTTTGCCCGGCTCATGGTCCTTTCTCTCAGGTACTCCCCCTCTTTTTGCAGTCACAGTTGTTTGTGGAGGGGCTGATGTGGGAGGTGAGGGTTTTGCTGGTGAGGTTTGCCACACAGGAGGTGACAGCTGCAGTTTGTGCAACCTGGGAGCACCCGGAAAGGTCTCCTGGGTGGAAGGAAAAGACCTTGCAGAGGTTCTGAGCCCAGGCTGCTTGGACGTGGTCCATCCTTGGCACATACAGGTTTTTGTTCACCGGGACCTCAGCGTCTTGGTGACATCAGCCCTCAGCAAGGTCACCCAGGGACTCCAGCATGCTCAGGTCCCACCAGAGCAAAGCCGGCTTCTGAGGCCCTTCCCGGGAGGAGGATTAATGTCTTCTGTACTTGTGCCACCTGCAGGCCACAAGAAAACCTGCTCGATCTCCATTCACAGTTCAGTTCACAGCTGCCTGGACCATTTTCCCGAGTAGCTGGATGCTCCTAATCCTCATGTTGTGCTGTTTTTCATGCTGGTTCCCAGCCCTGAGGTGATGTCCTGGAAGGAGGAGTGCATGAGTCCACCCTCATGTTTCATCCAGCGCCTGGATCACCTTGTGTTAACTGTGAAGAGCATTGAAGACACTGTGGCCTTTTATTCCAAAGTCCTGGGCATGGAAGTGGTGACTTTCAAGGTAACGTGGAGCACATGCTTGGCTCCAGTCTAGAGGACCTGGGGCCGCAGTTCCGGGCTGGTGGTTGATCCCTGTGGATCTTTAATTGGGTCTCTAGAGCACCTCTTCGGGGTAGGGATGGTAGGACTAATACAAGCTGCAGGCCATGAAGCTCTGAGTTTCAAGGGTGAAGCTGAGTTAGAAGAAGGTCCAAAGGATGCTAGAGATGGAACCAAAGTGACAAAAAAGAAAGTTTCTTTGAAGTCTTGGCTGCGGGACTTTCTTGGGTCACTCCACACCTTGAGGGGAGCCCTGCAGAAAGCAGTTCCTGCCTTGGGTTGCCACAGCAGGAGCCCAGAGTCAGCAGAACCATATCCAGGTCCTCAGGACTTTTAGGACTATGCAGGTGAGGGGATGCTGAAGGCTTCCAGCCCAGTAAGTCTCACTGCATTTTGATTCTTCTCTTTGGGGACAGGGAAATCGCAAAGCTTTACGTTTTGGCAACCAGAAGTTTAACCTGCATGAAGCTGGGAAGGAGTTTGAACCTAAGGCTCGATGCCCGGTCCCTGGCTCTGCAGATATCTGCCTTATCACACAGGTGCCCTTGGACCAGCTACTGGAACACCTGAAGGTGAGGAAGGCAGAGGGTGTCCACAGGGCAGCATGACCCTGGATGCATGAAGCCAGCGTCTCCCAAGTGACACTTTCAGGGTCTGTGTCTTGGGGAATGTCAGAATTGTCCCATCCAGCAGCTCATGTTATCAACGCTGGGGTGAAGAATGCACAAAACCCTGATAAGACTACCCTAAGCATTGAACCCCTGCTCCTATGTCTCCTCCCAGGCCTGTGGGGTGATTATTGAAGAAGGTCCCGTGGCCAGAACTGGTGCCGTGGGTCCAATAACATCCATCTACTTCCGAGACCCCGATGAGAACCTGATCGAGGTTTCCAGGTACTGAACAGAGGTGACAGCAGTCAGCTCTCACCCAGGTGAGCTCAAGTAGGTGTGAACTCTACTACAAATCGCTATCAACGGAGACCTCATGGCCCTCCTGGAAGATGTATCCTGCTGCTGCTGTTCTTGTTGGGACATTTTTCCTAATGTCTGACCCTGTTTCTGCTGCAGCTGAAGCCCCTCATGTCCACATCGTCCACCATGAACACAAAAGTACCTATTGTCCGTCTTCTCTTTGTAGTTACTTTTACACAGCTTAAGATTTCTGTCTTCCCTCCTCTCTGTCAGCCTGCTTGGCTTGATTCGTGCTGGCTGGTGATGGTGGCCCTCACATCAAGCCAGCGGTTTAAATCCAGCTGTGACTGTTGAAATCCAGCTGTGACTGTTGAAATCCAGCTCTTGCCTGGGAACTGAGAACTTGGCCTCCACGTCTGACACACAAAGCACTCCTGAGGGTGAAGCTCCGACCCTCATACTCAGCTCTGCATGAATAATTAAAGGCTTCCCATCATCCTGTTTGTTTCAGTCGTTCATTTCTGGAACAGCAGCAAAGCTTGACCTTCCCTGGCAATGTGTCTAGAGCTTGGCAGAGCCTCTGGACCAGGGGAGGCCAATAACCTCACCTTCCACTGTCCCGAAGAGACATCCAGAGTTGCTCCAGGAGCTCTGGCATGGAGCTGCCCACATGGTGTGGAGGGAGGAGGCCGGGCTCACTCCTGCCAGGAGGAAGGTGTGTTGTTACCAGTCTGCCACAGCAGAGTCCACTCGGGCTCTGACTGATGGTGCTCAGCTACTTTGTGGGACCATCCTAACTTTTCTTCTTTCTTTAATGATTTAAAAATCAACTCCTCAATTATTTAAAAAGCATGAAACAATAAAGAAAGACTTGAGTTTTTTTCGAGGAGAGCAGTTCCCCAGCTGGCCACGCTGCGGTAGCAAGTTATCGTCATGGAAATAATTCTGGGAGGCAGAGGGGGCTCTTCTGACCTCCACAGTCAAAACCCTTTCTAAAATTGAAATAATCCCTGTTTTCGACTGATTTTTTTTTTACTATTTCTTTTCTGCTGGCATTTCGTGGGAAATCCAAAATTCTCCACGGAGTGGGGAAAAAAAAAAAAAAAGAAAAGACACGCAAAGTCCTGAAAAAATTCGGTTCTTCAGGTCGTGAGGAGCTTGTGCTGTCGAGATGAAAGCTGCTTTCGGCTGGAGCCCAGCCGCTTTTGAGAGATAAAGCCACGGGGATCCCCAAACCTTTCCCCTGGGAACAGGGATCCCCCCAAAACACGGGGAGCGGCGCCCCCGCGGTCCTAGTGCCCGCCCTCCCCGCATGGGCTGCTGTCCAGGGTGCTGAGAGCCACCGGCGGGCTCCGACCCCCCGCGGGGGTCCTGCCCGTAGATGGGTCCTGCCCGAGGGACCCCGCGGATGGGTCCTGCTCACGGGAGAGGGTTGATAGGGGCATCCTGCTCCCTCTAGCCTTGTCTCGGCTCTTCCCCACTCTTAGCAGGTTCAGGGCTTTTCCCCAGTCAAGCGCTTGTGCCGGCGGAGCCCTATTAATTTCTGGAGTGAGGTTGCAGTTGTTGATTGATTACTAACACCGATCCCGCCCAGCTTGGCCCTGCGAGTGTCCTTTAATTCACTGCGCTTGTCAGAGTAAATATGTTTGTGGAGAAATGTTTCCTTCTCTTAATTTTAAGGGTAATTTTTCTTGGAACAGCAGTAGACAGAGAGACAACAACCCTTTTCTTATTTAGCCTGAGAGGAGAACTCAGAGACTCTGGTGGCACCACGTTAATTGCTGAATACCCTCAGTGTCACACAAGCTGGGCTATAATTTTCACAGGGCATCTTTGTCCTTGGCTGTTTTAAGGTCTCGCTTCCCTTGCCAGGGGGTTTGGCCTCCTAATTAGTTAAGGATATGAAACATTTGCTGTTAGAAACTGGAAATAATGAGTGAGACACTTTCCTGGGCGTGGATACTGGAGGTGTTTTCAGGGTCCTAGGCTTTCAGAGGAAATGCCACGAACGAAAAATTATCTCGGGTATGCTATTAGCTTCTAGATGCTCTAGAAAGGCCACTGCTGTGATTTAGCCCCCTCCCACAGGGAGGGGGAGGAGAACCGAAAAAAAAAGTAGAACTTGCTGGTTGAGATAAGAACAGTTTAATAACTAAAA